AGCTGTAGTGCAACATTATAAGAGGTCCTGATTTTGAGATTCGGTATAAACAAACCATGAATACATACACATATTAAAAAAAATGAAGCTCCTGATTTTTTTACTGCGACTCTTTTTAATGCCCTTCCCACAAGTCAGAGTGATTTGCCTTTCTTCGATTAAACATAAACCAGTTACTCCTTTATTCTTGTTGCATTGCAGGTCATTTAACTTGTGTGCTTTCTGTTTACGAAGTAGCTACACACTGGGCTAAGTAAACTCATAATGTGAAAAAACGATGCCTGCCCTTTTCCCTCTGATCTTTCCGTCAGTCATAATTATTGTCTTCACAAAGCTTCTGACATCAGTTTTCAAGTTGTAACTATCAAAAATCCCGAGACTTTTCCACAAGATGAGTGACCGTATACCAAAAGTTGTATTTCTCTACCCATAGCAAATAGGATGACATAAATAATTTTTCCTTTCACTGATCTATCACAGTCTAATTGTGGTTTTCTGTGCAATTGTCCTTCCTTTGCCATTTCAGTTGTAATGAAATATGAGGCGGAGTCCTAATATTCTCAGTATTTAACAGTTCTTAACTAAAACTGTTTAATCCCTGGACAACAGGAAAGAGGGTTAAAACTTTGGATTTGTTATTTGTTGTGGGAAAATTTATTGGAAATTTTAATTGCAGTCAACTTGCCTGTGGGAAACTGCTGTAACAAAGTTTCTACTACCTTTTAAAAGCTAAGCTCTGGAATATCCTGTTATGTTCTATGAATTTGTTTAGCATTGTTTTCTCTGCTAAATTGTAGGCTGAGGATGTGTCCTTCCATATAAATGCTAGGGTAGGTTGGTAGGGTATTATTAAATGAGATTTTTTTTCCGATGTATTCAATCAAAATTCCCTCTGAGTTTTCTGGAGGATTTCTGAGTTTCTTTTTATGGCTGCTGCATTGTTGTGTCTCTTCTATTTTCAGGATAGTAGACTTAACTTACAAGTTTCTGCTGTCTTTGTAAGCAAAACTTGTGGTATGCAATCAGAATAAAGATGTCTCACTAGCACATGAATATGTGGATACCTCTCAATTCTGCTTTCAGAATTCCCTTTGTGAACCCTTGCTAGAAATTGTTAGGTCTTCACGTGTTTATTCTTCTGCAAAACCACAAGGTTTGCACTTACTAGGGGCACTAAATATGTACTTAAAACTCTCATCAGACTTGAGTGTTTCACGAGGTGATTGTAGTTTCGAAGAGTTTCCATGGTGGCCTTTGTTTTACTGAGAAACTTTTTTGTTTCATATGCCCTCTGGTCTGTTCAGCTGTGACAGTTGCAAACAATAGGTGGTGCAACACAGATAGGATACAGTGTATTGTGCCCAGATGTATTCTTTCAGTATTTCAGGCTTTCGGTGAGGAACAGCCTCTTTGTTTCCTAGATATTTTCTTTTGTAGTGTTTTGTTCAGTGTTCTTTCTGTGTCACATGTGAAATTAAAGTAATGCTTAATACGAGGGTGGGGGTGGTGATGTTAACGATGTTTTTTCCTCTGACACCTAGAAATCTCTTTATATACCTCTAGAGTAGATATCTGCCTTATGGGAGTGTTCCATGACCTCCATCTAGAGAGTTTCCTATTCATGCATGCTTTTATTCCTGTTCAGAGGCACCTGGTTCTTCCAATTTCTCCTTTACAGAGCCAGACATCCCTGCAAGTTATGATTCCTGTCAGTGGGAGAAGTGGCACTGTATCACTGAACCTGCATCTTTCTTCTACACTGTTTGGTTAATTATCTATTTCATACAGACTTCTTCTGCCCACAGGCCTGAAGGCAGACTGTATTTAATCAGGTGTTGCAGTGCATGTGTGATAAGGAACCTGTAAATGCTTATCAGTACTTCATTCTTCAAGATGTTCCCAGACCTGGTAAACCCAATCAAATTCCATGTTGTACATAAAAGAAGTATCAGTGTTTCAGTTTTACTTTTGTGTAACAGAGATAGAAGATTCCTCTGCTTTAGTTTTATGTCAGAAAGCCTAGTTCTTAACTTTATTGTGCTGGCAGATCACCTTCTGGGCCTGGAAAACTAATGGCATTCATACTAAGCAATGAAAGTTGGGGTTTTAGGAATAGAGGGTCTGTTAAGTCAGATTCTTTACAATTTTATTTTTAAATCCAAACTCTGGTCAAACATATGACAAGTAATCGGGATGAGAGTTCCTTCAGTAAGAGTATATACCTTCCCTCCACTCTAGCTGAATGCTGAGAAAATTCAGTTTCCAGATGCACTGCCTTTGGGGCCACCTTCCAGCAAAGGTGCAAAAAAAAAAAAAAATCAACACTTCGGGTGGGTCTGACTCTATTTTGAAAAAAACAAACCCAAAACCCTATAAAAATGGAAGAAAATTCACTAGGTAAAAAAAATGGTGCTGCCTTGAAACGTTCAGAAGTTAAAGAACAAATGTGAGAAATTACCTGTGGTGGTTAGCTTGTAAGATTTCTGCAAGTGGAACAAGGTGAACTCTTCTGGATTCTTTTTGTGGAGTCAGATTTCTGCTTTCACCAGGGTTCTTGATCAGAGCAGATTTTATAGCTCAAGCAGCAGGAAATTGAAGAGTCGGTATTTCTGCCTATTTTCAGCAGCTTTTAATTATTTCTCTGATCAGCAACTGAATTGCTGGCATATGTTTTGGAGCGTGAATCAAAGCTGCACATGGTTCCAAAGGCTCCTGTTTGAACTGAGCATGATGCTGCTCCTGTGCTATTTTATCAGATTCCCCCCCAGTTGCTTTTCGCTGCAGATTTTTTGCTGTGTGCCAAGTGTACTTGTAGCTGAAGAACAGAGTACTCTGTAAGGAGACTCTTAGTGCTGCCACTTCTGCAGCTTTGTTGAAATCAAATATTTTATTCAGAAGACTAACGTAGTTTTGTCCTCTCGGCAGTAGTACTAGTCAAACGGCGTTCACTGAGTTTCCTGGCCTGAGGAAGATGCATGTAGAGTAACAGCCCAGCTTTTGTCAGAGTAACTGACATCAGGTTACTGTTTACTTTTGCTTGTGTCCATGGTAATGGTCATATCCAGTTCAGTTTAATCAGCAGTTGACTATAACATGGGAGCGGGGAACATATGTGTGTATTTATAGTATCGAAGCTGTGTTTAGAAGTTCCTGACAGAAATAAATAAACTAAGTAAGAGATCACACTGCTTTTGTCACCAAACCCATGCTGTTTTGAGTGCTTCTTTTTTTTTTTTTTTTTTTTAATGCTGGCAAGAGAACCCTGAACTGAGAGTTGAAGTGTGAGATACAGTTTCAGTAAGACATTACTGAATTTGCAGTCTTTCATTGCAGACTTTGTTCTGCAGGACAAGGGTATGAATTTACTTTTGGGAAAGAGGTCAACTGGAGGTTTCATATTCATTCAGATCCTTGTGGGAATTGCTGACTTCCTATTGAGGTGGTCAAGGATCATAAAACAGACACAGAAAAAATGTTTTGATGTTTTGATTTTTGTAACTTCTGGCACGATGCAATTGTTGCAAAATAACAGATTTTAAGAATGAAAGAATGTTACTGCAGGGAGTAGTTGATCCTAAGACGACTCCTCTACTTCATCCACCATAATCAAAAACTTACATATCTTTGTGGAAACAGAACTTGTTTCAGGGTTTGTAGACAAAATGTTGCTTTATGAATATTTAACAATCATATTCTGGTAGGAAATAAAGGCCAGATCTGCATAACAACTGCATGAGGCACTTAGTATCACCATGGTTTATCTAGCAGTTTATGTGATGGATAGAGTATCATTGCCTTTCTTGGGAGTACAGGAAGAGTAAAGGTGGTCAGTGCTTCCAACTTTTGGCTGCGCTGTACAGACAATACTGCTCAACCTTCCCCTGCCAGAGAGTTTACACTTTAAGAAATACTGGTATTTGTAAGAGGCGTGGAAACATGGGTGGCCAGAAGAGGTGTTGATACCCAAAGGTAACAAAAGTACAAAGTGCAGAGGAGTACTGAAGTCATACTTGAAAAATTGCTGGTATTGCAGAGGTATCTCAGGCTTTCAAACAGTTCAGTTGCAGAAGCTGATTACATTTTTAGATGCCGTGCTCTGGAGTCACGGTTTTCTAGATTATGTTTTATACCTACTTTTTGCCCATCATGCAGTAAATGACATAATGTGAATCCATCAGGCTAGTGAATCCTAGTACAGAGGAAGCACAGGGAATACTGGATATTGACTCTGAGCATGCTCTCTCTCTGAAGTCTCTTTTCATTTCTCTGACACTTATGATCTGCAGATCAGCTCTGTATTATTTACAAGGGCTTTGGGGATGAAGTGTTGAACCACTGAGCCTTTAGGCTAGGGCTTTCGTGCCAAAATATTTGTGTTGATGTAAGGGAGTGAAAGGCCCAAAGCCTCATTGAATTGAAAACTGTATTAAAATATATGTTGAAAGAGAAATTTGGCACTGACTCTCACTACAGAGAAAAGAGGTTATGACCTTGGTTACTTTTTATTCTCTTTACCTAATTCAAAGTTCAAAATTATTTCATGTTTTAATTCAAGCTTGGCAAGATCTCTTCTGCTATCAACTACAGGAAATGAAGAATGGGTGAAAGAAGTGGGAGAAGAGAACAAACTGCCTAATTTTACAGTGTACAGCTGGATGCCAAAATTGCATAGGGACATATAATAAGATCTATGTTACTGTTTCAGTCTAAAGGCTTTTTAATAGATTCATCTGTCAAATCCAATTATTAGTAATATATGATTTTTAAATTAATCTCAGGTTTTGTTTTACTTCTTTCTGTAATGAGCTATTTACAGGGTCCCTCATTAATACTTTAAGGTAGCGTAGAGAGAATTGGGGGAGAAAGCTGCACCCGGGGAATGGAACGACTTCAGATTTACAGTATTTTGAGTTTTCCTACTTTTATAAGAATATGTTATGTAAAAATACACTGGGGGCAGCTAGACATTTGCATATAAAATCCTAACATGTCTTTTGCAGGGAAGATTACCACGAAGATGGGTTCTGTCAGCCGTACAGGGGGATTGCATGTGCTCGAATCATCGGAAACAGGACCATTTACGTGGACTCCCTCCAGATGCAAGGGGAAATTGAAAACCGAATTACTGGTAAGCTTACACATTTCTTTAGCCTTAAAAAAAAAACCAAAACCAACCACATTACTGAGAGTATCCAGTTTAGGTAAAAATAGCACCGTCATCCTCCCAGTTTCGTCAGTCAGTGACTAAGGCATCCTTGTGTTAAGGTTTAGAGGAGGTGAGCCCGTTTCCACCTTGTGCAGTTGGCAAAATTTGGAGCAAGGAAGATGAGTATCTGCTGTAATGTGTGAAAGCAATGCGTAAAAGCTTTTTCTGTGTCATGAGGTAAAATGTCAGACCGCTGACTTTTTAACGGCTTCTGGTTTGTACTGGAGATTTTTACACGATGGATTCAAAATAAGATTTTTTTTTTAATTAATTTGTGATATAGTGAAAAAGTACTGATTTTTTATTGTCTTGAAAAATGTAGGGTGGCTTTTCCCCTGAGTTTCCTTTCTTATTGCATAATTCTGGCAGAGTCTGGACTTCACGCTGGTTTATATAAAACAAGAGTTGACCTTCCTGTGCTCTGGCTATGCTTAATCTTTCTCTGAACATATTTTTTGTACAGAGACACAAATGTGCATCCAAAATCTTAATGACTTTTAATGGGCTGTACATCAGCATGGGTTTTCTTCATTGGATCTGTTGGCTGACATTAGCAGCTGTGACTCTGATGTACACAAGCAGAGCAAGGAAATGAATCCATGGAGTAGAGCACACTGTTTATCATAATATATAGCAAATTAACTCAGTCCAGCAGGAGCTTATTGCATCTGGCCAGATATAGCTCACTAATTGACTCTGCAACTTCAGCATAACTAAACCAAAAGGAGTTTAATGTTGCTTGTCAGTTCTAACTCCTTAAAGATATTGCCTTAAAGATATTGCCTTAAGGTCTCTGGCAAGCCAGAAATCCCAGAGAGTTTTTTTGTCTGTTCTTGAGATGGTAATTGGATTCTGGGACTGGTAAAGTCCAGGTGCTGAGCTTTCCTTGTGCTATTATAGCTCATCCCCCTCCCTCCTTTCTCCTGTACTCTGTTGTCATTCCAACCTCTTTAACCATTATGTCATCAATTAATGCATACTTTTGATACAACTTTTTCCCAATGACTTAATCTCTGTCCTGTTTGGATGTTTTTCAGCAATATGGAAATGTTCAACTCTTTGAAATTATTAACTCTGTAACTCTGGAATTAGGTTGATAATGTCCTTTTCAAAAAAAAAAAAAAAAAAAAAAACACCCAACCAAACCTAAAAAAATCCAACAACCAAAAAACTGATATCATCCAGAAAATATGCATTGATCAAGTTGTGTTGTTTCTGGAATATGTAACCTGGGCATTGATGACCAGGCTTCTGGTTCCCTATTACCACCAATTATTGGTTAGGTTTTGGTGGCTGAGGGCTGGAATTCACTGTTCTGGAGCTGAGGAGAATTTCTGAAGGGACTGTTCTTTTTCAGAAACATGCTATGAACCACCATGTAGAGCTACCCAGTGCCTAGCTAGGCCGTAATATTAATCTGTTAATAATGCAGCATTTTCAAACTATCTACATCTGAAGGTCATACCAAATGCTTTATGAAAAATGATCCTGAGGATTTCATAGAATTATTGGTTCTTATGACTCTTATGTAAAACAAGTAATGCAAGACTGGCTGTTCTCTACCCAAATGAGAGTGTATTTTTGAAATTGCAGTACCTTGTTAGGTAAAAGAAAAAAAAAAGTACTGAATAACTGCTGTTGAGATTTTGCTTATAGTTTTGCCTGTACCTCCTAAGCACAGTTTTTGATGGAAGTGTTTGTGCTCCAGTGTGCATGGGAAGTGGTGACACCTACTGCCCGATGCCAGGAACATTTAGCAAGGTTGCATCTGTGGGGAATTTTCGTTCTGGATTTCCTGTTCCCTTTGTCGATTGAAATTCTGTAACACAATGCCTTCACAAAATTCAGTGTGGAGGTTCAAATAGTCGACACTGACTACTTCAGTCTTCCAGTTTTATTTTTTCCCTGTTAGTCTGTGGGACAAGTGTGTGTCACAGATACTCTCTGAGGCCTAATGCTGTGCTTGCATGCAGTATTCCCTACATGACTGAAAAATAGTTATATTCCTGCGTTAATATTTCTGAATAATTATAAACAAATGTGTAAACAGTATGAAAGGCTGGATCTGGGGCTGCTTGCTGCATGTTTGGTGTTTAGGAAGAGGCAGGAGACTCTGTGATAGCATGTGCCAGCCAGAAATTGAAAGGTTGAAAAGAGAGAGGGGGACAAGAGGGAAAGAATTTAATTGTAGGTGGTAAATAGGCTGCTGAATGACATTTCCTTTCTTTTTACAGTCTGAATTGGTGAAACATGCAGTCTAGCAAACCTCACTCAAAAATTATGCTTTACTGGGTGAATAAATGTTCCTACATTTAAAGCTTGACTCAGCACCAGATACATGATGCACGCACGTATTTGTCTTTTCTTTGCAACATGCAAGGAAACTTTGAAATAAATTTTAGCTTGTAGCTGCTGAGAGCTGAAGGGGAGAATTATGTTCCTGATTCATTATGACATTCATCTTAATGTGATCAGCGTGCTGGGACTCACTGCATTCATTTTCCCCAAACTGTTGCCTGTTAGGCTTCTCATGCCTGTTAATAACAGCGTCTCCCTAAATACCAACGGCACACTTCCTTTTGCCAGACAAGACTTGAAAAACACTTTGTTTATTGATCAAAATGTTCACAGGAGGAAGAAGTTAGGTGATCCTTGTTCAGATTTTACCTAATTAGGAACTTTGGAACATGTCAGGTGTATCTTGCCTTTGCTCTTTATGCTTTTAAATTAAAATTAGCCAAGGCCAGTAGTTTGAGCAATGGTAGTCACATGGGTAACTTCCTAAGAACTGAAGTCCTACAAGCTCTGTGAAGAAGTCAGAGGGACACTGGGATGCTGGGTTTTCTTTCTGCATTTGTCAGCTCTCCTTTACAGCAGAAATGGCCTCCTTTACCTGTTGCTCAGTGGGCTTTCAGACCCTCAAGGAAAGATGAAAGTTGTTAAAGGCAAATGACGTGGGGTTTTTTTTTTGCGAATCGGTGCTTAAGCAGTACTTTTGTCCCTTTGCAGCTGCGTTTACCATGATTGGCACTTCCACGCACTTGTCCGACCAGTGCTCCCAGTTCGCCATCCCATCCTTCTGCCACTTCGTGTTCCCCCTGTGTGACGAGCGCTCCCGGACCCCTAAGCCACGGGAACTGTGCCGGGATGAATGCGAAGTTCTGGAGAACGATCTCTGCAGGCAGGAGTACAACATTGCTAGGTCAAACCCCCTCATCTTGATGCAGCTGCAGTTGCCTAAGTGTGAGGACCTCCCACGACCTGACACCTTGGAAGCTGCCAACTGCATAAGGATTGGGATCCCTGTGGAGAGGCTCAGCCGATGTAAGTCTGGGTGTTTCATCACGGGGAAAAAATAAGAGTTTGTTGCTTCCTTGGCTTGAGTCTGGAAGACTGTTTTATCAGCCATTCCTTTTGTAGGGAAAGCACAGCTGTACTGGACAACACTGCTTCTATCTTGTTAGCACTGACCATGATCTTGCACTGTTGTAGAGTACAGTTAGGACGGTAAGGAAGCCTAAAGGATGCTGCTTAATACCAAAAAGGATTATGTCAACCACCATGGGCTATAAAACTCTGTGTTCACACAGCCAGTTTGATACAGATTTGCAAGGGGCAGCAGCGTGTTTCCTCCACCCAAAGCTCAGTTCTTACCTTTTTGGGTGAGCCACCCCATGCATCTGTGAGCTCTGTTTGCCTATCAATAAACATCAAACAGTCTGTTGAAGTGTCACTGCAAGATGTGTTAAGAAATGGAACAGTATGTTCGTTCCTTCTATATGGAAATCCACAAGAATAGTAATCCTGTAAATCTCATGTGGGGTGTAACTGTCTTTATTTACACACATACGATGAGTTAAAACATTTATCCTGCTTTCATGAATTTATATTTACATCCAGGATTAGGCAGGCTGCTCTGTTGTCACTAATTATGTTCGGACGATTTTTCTGACTACTCCATTTCATAGCAATTAGGCCCCTAAAATATTCAACAAGAAAACCCCAAGAGACCAACGCTGTTTAAAGTTCAAAGTGTGATAAGATTATTCTAAATATTCGTTGTCTGAGTCCACAGTTAGGAGCAGGAGTCATGGCATAAAGGTGGCCGTGGAAAACTAGCTATGTGCTTACAAGTTAATAATGTAGTGTAGCTGAGAAGTAGAAGCAATGGAGAAAACCATGACAGAGGCAAGTTGGCCAGGGAAGAGATATCAAGCAAAAGGAATGAAAACAAAACCAATAAAAAGTCTGGCAAAAGTTGTCCATGATCCTCAGAGCCAATGGTGCTGCTGCTGGTGGAACAGCTGCAGCTTGAATACACGGTGGTTTTGAAAGAGCTGCATTCCTGAGGGCTGGAGAGATCAGAAAAATGGAGAAGGTAATGTTGCAAACATGCAGGAAAATGCATGATTCAGTTCAGATGGTTCATGTGGAAGACAAGCATTTAAAGACTATGAAGAGAGGATAACAGCAAAAAAAGAATAAAGATGTGGGGCCAGCAGATATGAAAATGATGCATCTAAAGAGAAGAAAAGACTGAATACTTTTTTTTCCTAAAGAAGAAAATAAGGAAAAGTGGGCAAGAGGCATTAGAAAACACAGTACTAATTTCTATAGAAAGTGAGCAGTGTGAAGAAGACGGGAAGATGAGAAATAGAAGTGGTGGGATGTTTACACTGTTGACATCTGAGGACTGAAGTTCCTGAAGACTGAGTTCCTGAAGTGGAACTCATATTTCTGATTCTTTTTAATTTATCATGTTCTGTACCTAAAGGTCCATACATATTCCTTAGTCTCAACTTGCATTTAAAACTAGAAATAGTTGTGTGTGTGTAGCCACAGAGCTGAGACACTCCAAGAGAGAATGCAGAATTAACTGGGTGTAAAAGCGCACAGAGCTGAAATTTCAAACCAAACACCTTTTGTTTAAGCCCTGAAGCACCTAAATTTAAGTACTTTTTTTGCATACATGGTGCGTGGGCCTCAGCAGTTTTGGTCTTGCTGTCCCTTGATTGTTTGGGTTTTTGAAACACTTTGCCAAACCCTGTGTTGCAGATCATCAGTGCTACAATGGCTCTGGAGCGGACTACAGAGGGACGGTCAGCGTTACCAAGTCTGGCCACACTTGCCAGCTCTGGGACTCCCAGAGTCCCCACAACCACGATCTGACAAGCACACAGTTTCCAGAGCTAGGCGGAGGACATGCGTATTGTCGAAATCCTGGAGGTCAGATGGATGGTCCCTGGTGTTTCACAAAGAATAAAAACGTACGCATGGAACTGTGTGACATACCTTCTTGTAGTATGTATTCTCTTTCTTTTATCCCCTACTACTGTTCTGAACCCTGTGTAATTTTGAATGCTCCTGATTATTGCGATTCACTTAAGGGGGTTATGGTTTTGAATGTTTAACTTGCAGTAGCTTTGTTTTCAGTTGTGGGGTTTAATGTTTTCTGGAGATCAGAGCTTGTAACTGAGATAATGTGACACTTTTTGGTTACATATTGGAGGCTTAGTCTGAGATAATAATTCATGATAATGCTGCAGTTTGTATTTTGACTTGTCAAATGCCAGATTGGACATGGAAAACACCTATATGTGTTTGATTTGCTCATGCTACTCAAGGCTATATTGCTTTTGTTCTGTGTGACATCTTGCAGGCAGCAAGGATTTTCAGATCCTGTAGAGGGAGATATAACACCATGCCTGGTGGGAAAGACAAACCATTTGAAGTGCAGAAGCAGAGATGGCATAAAAGAGATGATCTTATCAGAAAAGTCCTGCATTAGCTGCTAGTGGCTCTGTACTGCACAACTGATTGAAAAATAAAAACCACAGCTCTCACAGCTTAATACTGTTCCACTCAGTTCCCTGTATTAGTACAGACTTCACACATTAACAGTCTTTGGGCATGACAAAGTGACTTATTACCGTGCTTCATTAGGAAGAAAATCATGTTTCCTGCAGCAAGAGGTATATATCATGGAAGCCATAAAAGTGGATTGCCTGGATCTTTAAAACTGCTCAGAACTAATATGGAATTTCTTAGTTACTTCTCTTTTTTACAGTAACATGATTTGACATTTATAATAAATTTCTACATGGCGTGTAACATGGTGTAAAGATAACACTGGGATGTGGTTGTGGTGAAAGCAGTTGCCACAAATAGCAAAACCACAGGTTACAGAAAACATCCCAGGCAGTTCCAGAGAACATTTTGGACATCTCTGTGCTTTTCTAGAGTCTCTAAATATTAAGACAAAAATAATTTTAGGAAGGTAAAGAACAGTCTTACTAAGTGTATTGATGGCTCTTTCATTTCTGTCTCACTCAACATAAAAGCACTTTAATTTTATTAAGTACAGAACAAATAATATCTCTGCTAATGAGAAGTGAGATTTGTTTTATTCTGGGCAGAAGTAGTATCAGTGGAAGTAAAGAATGGGCAAAGTGCTGATAAAATGGCTGAAGCTGTGAGAGAGGGTCAGACTGCAATGTTGTGCTGGGGTTTATCACTGCTTTATACATTGTCACGGAGACTGCTTGTTTTTTATACCCTGAACAAAATAATGCAGTGATTCTCTGGTCTGTATTCTGTAGTTTCCATAACTGGAAGCCTCAAAAAAAAAGGTGAAATTAACCAAATACTGTTACAGTCAACACATTAAATGTGGGGCTCCTAGTCTACCTTCATACTGCTAGTTGCTATGTCCAATCAAGCTTCTTTGAAATAATTAATGGAAAGTTATGGAGAAGGGGGAGAGGGTAGTGTGACTTCTGTTTTTGAGATGTGGTTTGCTTTTTGTTTAAAATATAGTATTAATAGTCATAATAATTTGCTTAACTATAAAATGTCTTTAAAATACTTATTGTAAGCAATGAGCCTTTCTGTGCTCGGCAGGTCCACATGACAACAGCAAAATGGGAATCCTCTACATCCTTGTTCCCAGCATAGCCATTCCTCTGGTGATAGCCTGCCTTTTCTTCCTGGTGTGTATGTGCAGAAACAAGCAGAAGGCATCTGCTGCTACACCACAGCGTCGCCAGCTGATGGCATCTCCCAGCCAGGACATGGAAATGCCTCTCATTAATCAACACAAACAGGTATTTCTTACAGAATTTGCTCAGGCCCACGTATTTCTGAACTGTAATGATTTTAACTGTCTCAGGTTGTCTGTGTTCAAACTGAGCCGTGTTGTAGGGGACCTAATTTTCATGCTGTGCAGACCATCTATTTCAGGGAAAAACAATCCTTACACCTGCTAGCTGTATCTAGAAATCCCAGCCTTGTGTGACAGCTTTCAGTACAAAGCTTTTTATGGCATTTGTCCTTACCTGTCAGTCACCATTCTGCCTGTTGTCGCAGTGACTGGAAATGTTGTTATGTCTGATCCAGTCTGCAGCCTGCAGCTTCTTTTTGCTGCTGATAATGACATGGCCAGTTTGCTTGTTTAAAACGTGGTGCACAGTGGGGTTTCTTGTCTAATCCATCAGCTCAAGACAGCTGTTGTTCTGATCCATAACTGAATGGGGAGCTGAGATGGGGTACAACGCTTTCAAAGGCTGAGTATCGCAAAGGATGGTGAAACGAAAATGGCTTTGAACTCCTGTCTGCAGAAGTCAGCTCCTGCACAGGATTTTCTGGGCCAAACAACTGATCTCTGTGCTGAAGTCCTGTTCAGTGCTAATGTTTAATTTTTAATCACAGCATTTACAAAATGCAAGCTTTAAAATGCAATGCTCACTTTGGAACAATTGAACAACATCTCTTCAGGAAACTGTAGAATATTTGATGAATATGACCAATTGTAGCAAATTGGATTGATTTTTTGTGTAAAGGGTAGGTTTAATGGCTGAGCAGGACTGTGCTGCAAATTTTCTGGCCCAGTCCACAGTCTGCTGGCCACTAAAATCAGAGATTGTTCCCAAATCACCTGTTAAAGCCTCTTTCCAGCCTACCCTACTCCCTCATGCTGCAGTGCTGTGTGTGTGAAGCTGTGCCAGCTGCACCTTGCTCTGTCAGGGACTCCTCCATTCCATGCTGGTCAGGATGGATCCATTACAACACCATCACAAACTCCCTTTCTTTCCCTCCCAGCTACAGGAGGGAGGCTCTGGGGGTTTCTCACTCTTGGATTTGCAGCCTTTTCCTTCAAGTACCAGGGAGAAATTCCTTCTTCCTTCTGCTCCAGTTGCACCCCCCTCTTCATTGGGGCTGACATGAGGTTTTTCAGCAGGGGTACTGTACACTGCTGCCCATGGGCAGGGGCCATTCCTGTAGTGTAACAGAGGGAAAAGGGTGGATCTGCTACTGCCGAACTGAAAGAGAGAGGTTTTGTTCCTCCTTCTGCTGGAATGGATGTTTCAGTTCAATCTGAGGCTTCCATCTCCTCAGCCAGTGCTTTTCTGACAGACCTCCACTGAGTAGCTCTGGGCTGGTCTGTAGGGCAAGTACAACTGCAGTTAATAGGTGTCATCCTTTGCCAGATTTACTCTGAACCCATTATTCATTTAGCTTGCAGGAAATATGACCACTCCTTTGTAGAAGTAATTATTCTCATTATCTTGCAGCACAATTCAATTTACACTTCTGATAATATTATAACTCACTTCAAGGTTAACTGTAAAATCAATACACTGATGTGAATATACAAAAAACCCCTGAAAAGTCATTTTGGCCCAGTTTGTCTTGCATTTGGACATCTAGCCACTGGGAGATTTGCTTTAATAATGGTTGTTTAGGAAACACTATGATATTTTACTGACTGTCTTTACTTCATTTCAGGCTAAGCTTAAAGAAATTAATCTGTCCACTGTGCGTTTCATGGAGGAACTAGGAGAGGAGAGGTTTGGCAAAGTCTACAAGGGTCATCTTTTTGGTACAGCACCAGGTGAACAGACACAAGCTGTTGCCATCAAGACGCTTAAAGACAAAGCAGAACTGGCTCTTCGTGAAGAATTTAAACATGAGGCAATGATGAGATCACGATTACAGCACCCAAACATTGTTTGTTTGCTGGGAATAGTGACCAAGGAGCAACCTATAAGTATGATATTCAGTTATTGTTCCCACAGTGACCTCCATGAGTTCTTAGTGATGAGATCTCCCCATTCAGATGTTGGCAGCACCGATGATGACAAGACAGTAAAATCCACTCTGGAACCAGCAGACTTCTTCCACATTGTGACTCAGATTGCTGCAGGAATGGAATATCTTTCAAGCCACCATGTTGTCCACAAGGACTTGGCCACTAGAAATATACTGGTGTTCGATAAACTGAATGTGAAAATATCTGATTTAGGCCTTTTCAGGGAAGTTTATGCTGCTGATTACTACAAACTGATGGGAAATTCCCTTCTTCCTATCCGGTGGATGTCCCCTGAGGCTATTATGTATGGCAAGTTTTCTATTGATTCAGATATATGGTCATACGGAGTCGTGTTGTGGGAAGTTTTCAGCTATGGCCTGCAGCCTTACTGTGGTTATTCCAACCAGGATGTCATTGAGATGATCAGGAACCGACAGATTTTGCCGTGTCCCGATGACTGCCCCACGTGGATATACACTTTGATGTTGGAGTGTTGGAATGAATTTCCCAACAGAAGACCAAGATTTAAAGATATACATAACAGACTAAGAACATGGGGAAATCTTTCTAACTACAACAGCTCAGCGCAAACTTCTGGGGCGAGCAACACCACGCAAACAAGTTCCCTCAGCACAAGCCCTGTTAGCAATGTCAGCAACGCTAGATACATTGGACCAAAGCAGAAAACTCCAGCCTTCCCTCAACCTCAGTTCATACAAATGAAAGGCCAGATGAGACCTATGGTCCCACCTCCGCAGCTCTACATTCCAGTCAATGGTTACCAGCCAATGCCCGCCTATGGTGCTTACTTGCCAAATTTTTATCCTGTCCAAATTCCAATGCAGATGGCTCCTCAGCAGATGCCTCCCCAGATCATTCCCAAACCAGGCTCCCACCACAGCGGGAGCGGATCCACCAGCACAGGCTACGTAACGACGGCGCCTTCCAACGCGTCGGTGGCCGACAGGGCTGCTCTGCTGTCAGAAGGCACAGATGACACACACAATGGAACGGAAGATATTGCCCAGAACCCTGTCCAGGAGGAGGAGGAGGAAGAGAGCTCCGTGCCTGAAACAGAATTGCTGGGTGATAATGACACACTGCAGATGGACGAGGCAGAAATCCAGTCAGAAGCCTAAGGAATTTGGCCTCACTAGTAAGAGCCCCACATCGCTTCCATGCATGGAGACAGTAGATCCTTAGGCTTAATAGAGTGATTTTGATCTGACTAAAACTAAACTAAAAAAGCAACACCAATGTAAAGTGCAGCAGTAATGATATACCGGGTTTACTGACCATTACCACCACTGGATTTTGCAAATATGATGGTATAGAATTGCTGGGTTTAATCTTTTTTACTGTCCTACAGTTCTTGAAAGAAGCTGCTTTTCAGATATGTACTGTTGCTGTGCAACATATTGCAGAGTAGCATTGCACATCGTGTATATCATGATATGTGAGTGTGATGCTAGTGAATTATGCTTAAGCCAGTAACACAAAAAGGAATTCAACTATGGTTGCAGAGTTGCTCTAAGCATAAAGAAACACCCTGGCTGTGATGGACAGCTTAGTTTGTAGTATTTATCTCTTTGATGTAATAATGGACATGGGATTGTTGTTTGCTTTTTTGAGTCTGAGAAAAAAAAGCTGAGAGAAGTGATCCATGTTTGTATTACCATAACAACAAAAGTAGGGAAAAGGAACATAAAACTGACTGTGCTGAGTAAGAGCACAGGTCTGTCCAGCCCAGTAGCATGTCTTGAAAGGCCATCGATAATGTCTGCCCAGGGGCAGACTGCAAGGGCAATTTCCCTTGTAGAATTTCCCCAGGGTACCTCCCCAGCCTCCAGCAATTTGTGACTTAGTGACTTCCCAATCCAGAAGTGGATTTTTATTTTTTTTTTCTGCTTAATAGCCCTTGATGGAATTTTGTACCATGAATTTATCCAAATGATTTTGAACTCACATAAACTTAGAGCATCCACAACATCTTGTGGAAAAACGTGAGAGGAGAGAGGATGGATTTCTTTCATCACTTCCAGTGAATGACTGTGAGAGAAGCTTCTGAATGAGATCATCTGACTGCATTTGTGGATGAAAGTATTCCTTCTCTGCTGTGTATTTTCAGCAGCAAACAACCTTAATACACTGTTAACCAAAAATGGGGATATTGTAGGGGATATTATAGGTGTGCACTAACTTAATAAATCCAACTTTAATTGCATATTGGTTATCAAGTACAGAAAATGGCTCCACATGTATGTTTCTACATTGTGAAAGTCTTGGGTTTTTTGCGGGGTTATAGACTTACTTGATTTACCACAATTACTGCTGGATTGCATGTGAAACCATGTTTTTTCCTGCCTTTTTTGGTAAAAATGATCTTTGAACTTTAGAAGACCAAAATAAGCAATACTGTACAAGGTGCTGTTTTTGTGCTTCTATTTGCAGGATGAATCATGTACAGACCTTTAAATGTAATTTATGTTTTACTGCATTTTATATATGGTTTTTCATTGAAATATTTGGATTTTTGAATGAATGACTTTATAACTTAACCATTTACAATATTCATACATGATGAAGTTTTATGGTATTGCTGTTTCACTTTGTTAAACATGCAGACAGGTCCATACATTTCATGACCCTTTCTGTACAAATGCAAGCAATACACATTCTCATTGTAACATTTGTAGCCAACACACACTATAGCTATAAGTTGTACATCCAAACATGGAGTATTCAATAAAGTGATGCAAAAAGTATGATTAAGTATGTTATCCTACAACCGCTGTTTTTTTTATGGTACTGTGGTACTGTTTATGGTTCTGTTTTTTTTATGGTATTGTGGAAATAAAACAGCCAAAATTCCTTAACTTTCAGGTTTCACACCTAACTACAGCCTTTTATTTTATTAGATTGGTGTTCACTTGTAAGTTGTATATCATTGTGATCTACACCCTGTGTTCATGGTATGGCAGCATTACTTATTTTCAGCATTTCACCTGGATTTGGAAATGCACTGGTAGGAATAAAATATGAAAGCTTTATTACTTGTGTTAATATAATGCAGCTTTGGGTGCTTTTACTAAATAAAGGATAAATTAAAAAAAAAAAAAAAGTGAAATTTATTTATGTGAAGTTCTTTGTTTCTCCTAGGTTTCATGTTCTCAGATAAATGCACTTGATTAATCAAATACATTGTCTTCCTTTAGTCCTTTGCTAACTTACTACAGAGTAAATGGAGAGTAACTGGTCCAGTCACACCACGGATTTGTCAGTGAGAGAAGAGATGTAATAAATGAGTAAGTGGAAGTCAGTGGAAGCTTCTGTACAGAACTGTCTGAAGTTCAGCCCATTTCTGATGGTCAAAATGCATTATGACTTTGTGTGCAAAAAAACCAGGTCAGACTCCTATACTAACTTTCCCATCCCCACTCTAACGTGGATTTGCTGTCAAAGTGATGATGAAGGAGTGGTATAAAATTTTCAAGGTCAGCCTTGGTAATACACATGGCACTGGAGAGGGGTTTTCCCCCTCAGTTGATGTGGGTGCACTTCTCTGAGCTGCCGGGGTCGGAGCTGTGACAGCATGCAAACACCTCCACTGCACTTCAGGTGAGCATCTGCACCAGCACCGCTGCCCACGTGTGAATGGCTGCTCTGAGTCATGTGGATTGGAAGTAACTTGCTGTTCTGCAACTTCCCAGGCTGCTCTTCCCTGTGATGTCTGCTTCACAGATCCAGTCAGAGTCGGGATCTGCCTTTCCTCCTCGAGATTTGGAAGCAGGGCCAAGGGAGAGCAGGGAAGGTATGAGACAGTAAGTGGATGGGTCGAGGTGGTAAGTTGGGAAGGGTTGGGGCTGGGGCCAAGCAAAGCCATCTCAGTGCTGCTCATTAAGGCGTTCAGAGTTACTTCTTCCTGCCAGGTCTAGCAAAGCTAGAGTTTTTCTTAGTGGCAGAACAGCTTTTCTAGGCAACAAATACATGTCTGGATGGTCAGGAGAGGGCAACATGTTTTTGAAGACAAGACTGTGGGATGTTTCTAAAGTTTTTTCTTGTTTCTAGGGCCCTACTCTGCTTCAGCTAATATGGTTTTCCTAAGAAGACAGGGTCTGACCATAGGAAAAGTGTTTAGAGCATTGGCACTGTCCACAGCAGCCCACTGACAAGGCAGGAGTATCCATGTTTGCAAAAGTGTATGAGGCAGATGGAGTTGGGTAGGAAGGGGAATAGATTTGCAGTCATAGGGCAGGAAAAATGGGTAAGGGTTCATAGCCTGAGTGGGGAAGCTGACTACAGATGTTTCACTAGGTCAAATCTGAATCCTGTTCTGATATTGTCTGAGAACTAGGTTATTGGAGGGCCTTTTCATGTGTGACTCATTGAGACTATAGGAAGACAAAACTATAAACATTGCAGTATTAACAACTGTATAAGAACAGAGAATTCACCTGCAATACTAACTGATAAGTACAAGCAGTCGTTAGTACAAGTTCTGATAGGTGGCTTCATTCTTTCATCTAAATATCACTACACTTAGTTTCATCTAGTGATTTCCCTGAGACTGATCCAGAGGAACAAGCTCCCAGCTGAGATATGAATCCCTTGCTTCCTGTATCTGCCATGGCTATGAACATCGTAGTACACCAAAGGGAATTTACTTCATTGTAATAGTACCTCAAACTTTCATTAGATATGTGAATTTATTTTTTTCTCACATTTTTTAAGGAGTTCATTAGATGTCACTAGCTTATGTGTTCAGAAAAATCACCTCACTTCAGCCAGGTTGGAATGAAGGGAAAAGGTCTGATGGTTTCTGGGAGAGAGCTCAGGAGCACCTGTTGAGTGGGAGCACTGTCAAAGATGTCAGACCTTGAGGTTTTTGCCAAAACAGATATAAGGATAAAACACTCAGCTGCAAGCACAGCGGTATCTTCAAATAAAGCCTAAGTCATAGTTTAAGCATGCATAGACAGCAGCTCTTCTTCTAGACAGGCAAATACTGCTTCAGGCTGTTCTCCAAAACAGCATTTCATTTACCCAAAATATGAAGAAAAAAATCCACTGGCAAAACCATCCTCTTTTTGAGTAAAGGGACTAAGCTCATATTATAAGGAACAACAATGTATCCATTCCATAGATAAATCTAATAAATGTTAATGGAATGCATGACAGGAGGCAAGTTTTGGAGATTTTCTCAAATACTGGAAAAGTGATATTAGAAAAGTAGTAGCATGCAGCACAAACAGTGACGTGGCTCAGTGAATGAGTTTTTGTTCCATTGTTTTAGAACACTGAATTTTGTTCTTGTTTTCCAAAAGTGACCTTGTACAATCTCTCAGTTCTGCCCAGCTTCCAGATATGACAAGTTGTTGACTCCTTCAATCAGTAATGTGAATCTAGGGATTATTAAGCAATACTAAGTGCATTTGCTTGGCAAGACAAAACAAGTCTGTGATAACCTGGTCAGGCAGACCTTTCTCTAGAGCAAAATGTACTGTATCTACTGTGACAAAATATAGGCAAGTTGGTTTGGCAGGATTTCTTTTCCAGAAGAATGCTGTAAAAACATTTTGCACCTACTCTTCCTGTCTTGTGCTATGTTTTATGTTGAAAACTTGTAGTGTCTGGACTCTCTAACCACTACTTCTTCCTAGATAATACATGGTGGGGTGTCTCCTAACACTGGGTTTCCACTGCACAAGACTGGGCCTCCTGGCTTGCTTTGTGACCTCAGGTAGAGGGCAACGCCTGTGTGTGTATGTGTGCACATGTGCCTGGTTTTGGAGGAAAAAATACGCTGGAATATAATGCAGTAGCTCTGTGTTTGGGGCCAGATGAAGTGTGTGCACACACAGGTGCTTGCAGACACAAACCAGCAACGGGCAAATGCACATTGCAGTTCATTAGGGGATGTTTTTCCCCCTTGCCTTCTGTGATGTGCTTTTGTTCCAGGGCTGTGTGAGATCTTTTGCAGCTCTGAATCCAAATCCAGTTTGTCCTGGTGTGAAGTCCTTGCCTGGCTTCCAGTTGGCCACAGTACCCTGGGGCTGTGACAGAAGACTCGAGGGATGAGCCTTCCACGAGGAATCTCCCAGCAGCCCCCATGGAGCACTGCCCCACCTAGAACTTGCAGGGGGGGTTTTCACAGCCACAGTCAGACTCCTGCTTTCCCTGTGACACCCATGCTGACGGCCCTGACCCAGGCCCCATCCCGTTGCTTAAAATGAAAAAGTATTGTTCTAAATCTTAGCTGAACACTGCAATATTGCACAAGCAGGGGGAAGTAATGTAGCTGAGGTTATGGCAGGAGCTGGAAATAGTATGGGGTTCACAGGGCTGTAAATCTCCAGGAGAGTCAGAATTTAAAATAATACGACACTGAGGGAATGCAGAATCCAGTGTAGCTACTTCTCATTTCTATTGATCTGAAAGAGGAACTTTGTTTTATCTCAATTACAGTGTACCTGATGGTTTAACTGTCCTTTTAAAACCTCTGTCTAAAACTGGAAATAATCCATCTGTTCAATAAGTTCTTTTGTCAACTCTAAAAGTGGTGGAATTAGGGGAGGGAAATTAAATTAAAACTGTCATATTCATTTAATTGAAAATTTATTCCCTATACTAAGCAATAAATAATCATCATGGAGATTCACAGAAAGAGCTTTTGTTGCTCCATATTTTATATCTGTTACTGAAGAAGGGTTTGGTTTTTTTTGTAGGAGCCACCCTCCACACAGCCTTCTTGCAAATTTCTTTTCAAACTAATAAAGTAGCCACTGGAGATGTGGGGAACTGCTGTAGTTTTGATTCATAACAATCAATTTAAAAAATCTTATCAATATGTCCAACTCTAATTCTTAGTCTGCTTTAGAGGTAGCTGTTTAACATATACCAACAATATATGTTGGAATTCCTTCCATAACAACAAATTATATTGTAATTAACAGATGGGATGGTGGGTAGGAAAATAGGCAGCTAACTAGAGAAGTAATTTACTATATAGCTATTGCCTCTAAGTAATTTAAAACCAGAAACATTTCAGGTGCATTAATTTAATTTAGATATAATATGATTTCAGCTGAGGCTGATTATTCTCAAATGTAGTCTGAGGTTTTACAGTTATGATAAAGATCTTTGTCTTGCTTCGTTGTTAATCCTGTGAATACTTTTTCATAACTTGATGTGGGTTTCCATTTAATTACTTTCATATTAGATTTA